GTTGCTGCTGCTGCTCCCGGGACTGAGAGGCACTGAGTCTGAGTGGGGAAGAGAGAGAGATTGACTCCAGATAAACTTGGCTGCAGGATTCCACGGCTTGTGCTTCACAACTGATGTTAATCTGAATATGAAATGAAACGATACGGGACGGCTGGAAAATTAGCCCACGGTCGCCATGCCAACCATCAGCTGAAGCCCCCTCTCACTCGCCACGGAAATTACACATCGCAACAACCTGTCTGCATCAGCACTCCAACGGAGCGACTCAAGCCTCGCACTGCAAACAGAGAGACCACTCAGCCGAGCTCTCCACAGATCTGCTTCCCAAATCCATTTGGAACCACAGACGCTGCAGAAAGATCGGAGACATGGGCTTCACACTGAGAACCACCCGCCCCTTATTTTCCTTCTCAGTCATATCTCTGTCTTCTTTAGCAACACTACGCTAGGCTGTCAACAAGTGCTTCCTGTTTGGAAAACACCAGCAGTCACTCAATGAATCCAGCATTAAATTGTCTTAAAAACACAGCGTGATGTCTGGGACGGTGCATTTGGTTGTTGTTGGAGGAGAGGAAGAGGCAGACACGGATCAGAAAGTGGGCAAAATAAGAAAAGGAAGTTGGAAAATGTACTTCAGAAAACGAATAATGAAGAGGCAGTGGTTGAAATTTAAAGACATTTAAAATCTGTAAACGTGGCACGATACCCAGTCGACGGCCATGTCTGAGAAGACAGAAGAGAAAATGGGATTCAACCTCAGGGGGCCAATAATGTAGAACATAAAGAAAAGTATAAAATATAAAACAATATGGTCAAATTCAACACTGCTTAGTTACATATTTTATATCTTTTTAAAATCTATCTTTTATTGTTTTAAATGCCAAGATGGTCAATAACAATGACTAGGTCAAAGGGCACCTCCTCATTTACAGTATGTGTGGTTATTAGGCCGAAGTTGTGAACTTCTGATTCATCACAAGATCAACAACCTGTGTCATAAGAGTAGTTGAACTATGGGGAAATACATTTTGGGCGACAGGTCCAGGTGCAACACGTCACACTCGCCCACATCCTCAAACCACACAAACACAACAGCAGCAGTTGTCCTGTCATGGGACCAGTCCTGCAGACAGCTGACTAGACAAACCGTTCAGTGCATATGGGCCTCTTCTGTCTTGTCAGACGGAAAAATACACACAAACTGATGCAGGACATAAACACTGAGCCACAGCTGTGCTACGTTTACAACGGTGTCGCCAGAAAACTCTGAAATTTCAATCAATTCATAAAAAGTATGAAGAAGTATTAAGTGTAAAGAAGCAGCTTCTAGAAACAATGGGTGTAGTGGTTACATAAACATGATTATCAACATCTAGGTCCCGGGCTAGTAGAGGTTCATGAGTCGTTTGGTACTGGACAAAAAAATTTAATATAATTTTGTTTCCAGTTTGATGATAATGGGTGTGAAAAAGGTTTTATTTTGAAAAACCTTGACTGTATTTCTTCATTGTAAGACACTTGTCTTGGTCATATGTCCCCCGCAAATGTGCAGTGCACAATCTAGTAAAAATGGTTAAAAACCAGACTTCTTTAATAATTCACTGTAGCGACCCCTGAAGGCAGCAAGAAGAGTGGCAGGCAAAAGAAAAAGTATTTCTCTTTTTGGTGCTTAGATGCAAAGTTATTGTCTATATGGAACACTGCCAGGTAAAAAAGAAAATACTGGGTGAAGTTGCACACGTCTAGGAAGTGAACAGTGGTCAGTGGATCACGACTGACCTCTTCAGGTTTATGTCCTTTTATTTGTGTACATAGGGACAATATGACTCGGTAACTGTGCCATAAACGTCGACTCTGATGCTGTAGCTGCAGGAAGTACAAGACTGTGTTTGACAATACAACACATCTGAGTTTACATAAGGTTCATGGGTGTTTGGATCTCACACACGTCACATCCTTCGATGCTCACCACAAAAACATTAGAAGGAGGTGCAGCACTCACGCAGCAAAAGAAACAGAAGTATTTATCGTGAGTTCAGAGGATCATTTAATAGTTATATCTACTGCACATTTATTTATATTTTTTCCACATCGGTTTTATATAGATTTCCCAGATTATCTAGAAAAAATGTTTCATATTATGATTTTTGTTGTTATTAGGGCTGTAAGAAATTATCGATACACTGAAATATCGCAATATTTTATTTCACAATATCCTAGCACTGTATTCCAGCACTGTATTGATTTTTTAAATTAACAATTAACATGCAAATATTCATGGCTTCGGTTAATTTATCTCTGCTTTTCTTTCTTCTCTAGCGATTACAAATGTAGATCCCTCTGCTCCGTTTAGTAACCTGATGTCAAACATGTTACAGCATTTTGTCTTTACTAACTGCTGACAGTTTTCTTACAATTAAATGGTTTAAAATAAATCAATACATCGTCAAGCCTATAGCAGTATATCGCAATATATCGTATCACTCTCCCTGTATCGTGATACTTATCGTATTGCCAGATTCTTGCCAATAAATTATATCTTTAGGTTTACTATGCACTCTGAGAGTTGCGCTAATTAAACATTTCATGCAAGTGTACTTTTAAGAAAACACTGATACGACTTTGACAACACTGTGAATTTCCTGACATTCCGTAACGTGAAATAACGGTGCAAATTATCTGAATTTTGAGTTGTGGTTTTGAAGCCATTTGAAGCCATTTTAAAGCCATTAGCCCCTGTCTAATTATAGGGACAGGTTGTGTTAGAAGTGGTTTTATGATGTAGTGACAGAGAAAAACCCACTGCACTGACTTTGCCTCTGAGTGTTTAGGTGATTAAGGGAACCTGTCCTGGGCCTGAGATCCTCACTGCCACATGGAGGAACAGTTTTCAGACTCTTTAAAAAGGCTCACGTCATAAACTCCACATCTGAGCAAGACTGCGATATCTTAAAGCGTGTATTAAATGTCTTTTCACACTTCTGCTTCAATCCTACAAGTCAAAAACCAAGTTTGTTTTTTGTTCATTTTGCTAGCTTGGGGGTATTCAATTTAGCGGTAATGTATTATGTGTTAGCGGCCGGAGCAGAACTTTTAAGAAGGTAGCGGATGTAGGTGAGAGATGTGACCGAGGCAATCATCTTGACATGGATCAAGTGTGAGTCATAGACAGATGCGGCGGAGAGAATCCGGTCATTTTTCAAAATAATAATAATGTAAGTTATGCATTCTTTCTGTGCGGTACCAATAGACCCTCGGACCAGTGCCGGTCCCCGACCCAAGGGTTGGGGACCACTGGTTTAATTCACCAGTGGGACTGTGCTTTCACTCCTAGAATAATTGACTCATGGGATTTCGATTGTCCACAGCTCTGATTCTCCAGCCTCAGTGGCAACAAAGGAATACATGAATATTTCCTTCATCTTCACAGTGACAACGCTGGCAACAGCTCAGTCTACTGGCCATAAAAGGAATGAACTCAACAGCAAACCCAGGCCTGGAAATCTTGTGAGTCAAAGTGAATGCAGGGATAAATAAAAATGGAGGTTTTAAAGACATTTTTCAGATGGAAACTTCTCATCAAATCTACTCAGGGAGTATATTTATATCAAAAACATGACGACCTAACCTTCCCATGTCTTACATCAACAACCTGAATACAGCCCAGGTTCATACTCTCTGTACTCAGTTATATCCCATCAATTTCTGGTCACAGCTAAGAGTACATAGACACTGAAGGGTCCAAATACAGGACAAAAAGTGTTGGATTTAAAAAAAGAGAGAGCGAGAAAGAGAGTTTCCTTGACTTTTTAAATGGCATTTATTCAATAGCAAAGTAGTTTGTTTGTTTTTTTCAAACCACACCGAGTGTCTCGGTGGCAGCGCTGTACCTCAGTGCCCTCAGATTGTCATCATTTACTTTCCTTTGCCATTGAACATGTCTAACCTTGAGTCATACTTTATAAGACAGGGTCACGGTGTCTTTTTCTTGGTAAATAATACAGCAGGCAGAGCAGAACTGAACCCAATCATTCTTCACAAATCAGGACTTGATATCACTTTAATCCAGGGCCGAGCCAATTACCCAGGGGGCAGAGCTTTGAATATTGTAGAATAAAGTGAGGATAAACAGAGAGAGTTCTGTTTCCTGATACACAGTACTACATGAACGACCAAGACCTTATTTGCTAATTCAACCTAAATATAACTATGTGGTTTGGTGGTATTGGATTGATTTGGTTTGTTTTCACATTAGTGAGCTCACAGCTAAAGTCGCTTGATTAACGTCGGTATCATAAGCCCTTCTATGGAGACAGAGTATAGAATGGATTTTTAACTTTAAGTAGATGATATGGCTAGGTGTCGTACAAATACGAGTATCCATATCAGGTCCAATACTTCATTTAAATACTAGCAAAGGTCATGCATTAGCACCACAGTTTAAGTACACGTTGTTTACAGGTGAGCAGGAAACTGTGTGAAAAGTTCTGCTCGCTTTCTGGTCAGTCGCCTGTGTTAATTTAAAAAAATTATAATTTTCTCATTGTTACTATTAATTATTTTTATTTTATCCCTAGATTATTTTTTACCTTTTAGATTACTTTTCGAGTTGTTTTTCTTTCTTTCTTTTTTTGTCTCTTTTTAAGATGGAGCCAATATGACATCACTGAGAGTAACTGACTTAAAAGATGTTCATGTTCCTTTTAATGATCTGGAAAATAAAATGATTAATTGAGTAATCGCTCATGAAAATAATCGACTACATTGCTAATTGATTCGGTTTAAATCTGTTTACTTAACTAAGACTGAAAACAAATAAACACACATTCAGGTCTGAGCTGAAACAGGTGGTTGATGCAGAACACGGTCAGAGAAAGTTGTACTGCTGCAGGCCACACACACACACACACACACACACACACACACACGTAGGCAAATAAGGGGAGCCCAGCAGAGGACGTTAGAATCGGTCACAGAGTAAAACAGGAAGGTGAACTAACCGTCGCCTTGATGGGGACATAGAGCACCGGTCTGTCCGGGGAGCTGCTCTTGCCGTCGGCCATAGTCCTGATCTGGAAACCCTTCGACTTGACCCAGAATTTAAATTTGGCGTTGGAGTGGCTGTTGCTCTTTTCGTGCAGGAACATCCCGTTGCTGTGCTCCTCGTCCCCGGCGAGCAGCGTCTGCAGGATTTTGTTGTATTTGCGCCGGGTCACGGTCTTGGTCTTCCCGGAGTCTCCGTACGTCCTCAGGCACCAGTCCTGAAATTCACCGAACATCTCTGCCACCACCGCCTCGGACGCCGCTGGTGGAGCCGCGCTGCCACAGCTGCTGGGACTCCGGCTGCTCTGCTGGTGGTTGGTGCTGGTGGTGCTGGTGGTGGAGGTGGAAGTGGCCACCTTGTCCGACACACTGCTGCTCCTTTTCGTTGTCATTTTCAAATAACGAACAGTTTTGTTTGAACGGGTCAGGCCTGCACGCTGTGTCCGTTCAAATTAGGCTAAATTCGACCAACGGTGGCGAAGCCTTTACATGTAGTACAAAAAATAAAAAATAAATCAAGGAAATACCCCTGAAGGTCCCGCTTAGCACGAAAACAGAATAAAGTCCGGAAATTTAATTTCCACAATGAAACCAAACATAACCTCGCAACAAAGTCCCAAATTAGCCGTTTGTCTCCCTCCTCCTCCTCCTCCTCCTCCTTCTCAACTCTCTGCTGTTACGCACCAATGGAAATCTGCGCCGAAAAGAGGAAAAGAAAAGCGCACACTGGGATGCCCTGAGCACCGAGTGGAACTCCACACCCGCCGCCGCTTGGTCGTAATTTCAGGAGGTGGGACTGGAAGGTGGGAGCAGGTTAGGGTCGGACCGGGGCCGGTGCAGCTGTGGAGCGGCGTGTCCTCCTCAGACACACCTGTTAGCAGCGTGGCTCCGTGGGCCTGTCCCGTGGGTGATGTCTGTCACCGCCTCTCTACTCCTCTGCTACCACATCCTCTTCCTTCTCTGAGGGAGAACGGACAAGGGGAGATATGAGGTGGTGGAGGAGAACGGGGGAAGTCCTCTTGTCAAGCTCCCGTCAAAGGAGCGCTCGTTTTACACATGAAAAATGACACCGTTTTTGGCATAATTGTCCGTTTGTTAATTAACAAGATTCACGCGTGTCGTTTTATTTATTTTTTTAATTTTCTTTCTCTGTCCGCTTCCTTCCTCTTCCCCTCCTTCACCTCCTCCTCCTCCTCCTCGGGGCTGATGGGACGCACCGGACACCTGTTTGAATCCTGTTCCTGTTCTGTGCCTCCTGACGGTGGCGCACTCAGAGTGCAGCGCTGCGACTCGTTTTCTTTCTTCCCCCCAAATATAAACAGTCTACGCGTCACAGTCCAACAGCAGCAGCAGCTACTGCAGTCCTGGGCTTCAGAAACGCACATATATCATGTCACACCAATGACTGTCCCGAGGCAGAGGGACGTGCACGCCGCAGCTCCGCTCTCCAAAGCAGGAAGTGTCCGAAATGATTGTGAAACGACGTGAACACGCGCTGCTGCTGCTGCTGGTGCTGCTGGTGCTGACACACACGTCAACAAAGAGGCTGGAAGGTACTACGGCAGGGTCTTCAACGATTTTCAGACCAAGCCTCCGGCCCCCAAACTGACGGAGCCGGGTCTCCCTTTGTAACAAAAATGTGTTTTATATCAACCTGGGTCTAATATCCTGTATGGACAGTATGTCTCTTCTCCTGTAGCTTTGCAGTTAAAACTAAGCTTTAAAAAACAAACAAAAATGTTTTTTTCAAACTCGTGCAAAATATAGCCAGTAGGTGGCCGTGCAATTTATAAACAGTTGTCAACTGACACGTTGCCATTGTCGACAATAAATCGTATTTCGTAAATTAATCATATAATATCGAAATCGTATATTAATAGTTTATTTATTCTATTATTTATAACAGGTGTGGACATTTTTCTTTAAAAAAATGACTCCGCTGCAGTACCTCCATGGAACCCATAGGGCCTACAAACCCCCTGTTGAAGACATCTGGACTGGAGTGTTGCCTTTCAGATCTATTACTTACAAAACATACCATGTTAAACCCATAGGGCCCCTCTGGACTGGAGTGTTGCCTTTCAAATCTATTACTTACAAAACATACCATGTTTTTAATAATTCCCCAAGTAGAAAACATTTTTTAAATTTATTCCCAGGTTTATCCCAAATGTGTTTGTTTTTTATTTTTTTATTTTTTTTACAAGGCTTGATATTTTTAACATTGCATCCTATAAATGTGGGATTGACTAGGAATCTAAAGCTGATTTTACTTTGTCACAAATCTATTCCAAAAAAAAAAAGCCATAAGGTTGATGATGAATTAAAGATACATTAAGCCTTGTTAGATCAGAGCATCCCAGTGCACACAGACTAAGGATAAGGGAGCAGACACCAACCACTGTGGACACAACGCTCGTCAAACACAGCGTTGTCCAGGTAGTGATGAGGAGCAGCGGTTCTCATCATGTTCCTCCTCGAGCGCCACACTGCTACAGTTTAGCCCCCGGCTCACTGTGGCTTTGACAGCCTCTAATTAGAATCTGCAGCATGGGACGTAATGAGATGCAAATTATGAAGTCATTGTTTTTGACCATGTGTCTCCAAGTCGTATTCTTTCTGCAGCAGTCAGAGGTTTAATCATATGAATTAATATGAATTCAGCTCAGTTAAAGTCCAGAGCTAATTTATCAACGATTACTGTTTGATCATAATCATCAGGCGAGGGCGAGGAAGACCCGCGGAGTCACGGGTAGAATAACAACCCCCACTCCACCAAGTGGCGCTAAAGTCAATACTGGAGTCCAACGCTAAACAGTTTACTGCCAAGCAATAAAAACATTTGTAGACTTTTTGTAAAAAAAAAAAAGAAGAGTGTTTTTGAAGCATGTGACCACATTCCTACTCAAATACCCAGAATCCACCTGCTGGATCTTGTAGTAGTGCATAACCTAAATATGGGCTGTTTCTGCCCAGTCTTTCAGCTCTGTCACGTCACATGACGTGTGAAAAAATAACAAGAAACAATAAGAAACTACACAATAAATGTTCCAAAAATGAGGGGACACTTTATAGAAACAATAAGAAACTACACAATACATGTTCCAAAAATGAGGGGACACTTTATTTTATTTTCCAGGTGAAATGACGAACAAATGATCTCATGGTTTTCATTGACCACCTGAAATCTATTTGTGTATGAGTTATAGTAAGGACTGAGATTAGACCTTCATCTGTGATGGTTAGTGTTAGGGTAAGGGAGTGGGGGATGCAATGTGTCTGTGTGAAGTCCCCTCGACTCATAAAAACAAGACTGTGTGTGTATATGAGTTTGCTTTTAAGGTGGACTGAGACTTCTGCCCTGAACAGGTGTTGTCATATTTACTGTTAAGGTGGGTTTCTGGGTGAAAGAGTTAGCAGCACAGGACATCTCATTTAACACGTTGGGTGTGTCATCTCTCTCTCTCTCTCGCTCTCTCTCTCTCTCCCATCCCAAAACACAACACTTCTTGCTGGTCCCAAGAGAAGTACTGTAGGGAGTCGCCAACAACAACCAAGAGAAAACAGTCAACCGTACACCCGTAACAGTTACAAGTAGTCGGACACAACATCCTGTGAATGTGTAGTTCAAGGCCACGAGTACGACAACCTGTCGACCCACCTGGACTCAGGCCTCCTCGGTTCAGGGCTGCAGCCTTCAGGTAAAAACCACCTCAGTCCCCAACTCCCATCACGCTGGGTTTAAATGACAGGTCACCCTCTTTGGGGGCCAGTCAGCGCCACCTGTTGCAGTTTTTAAGCAGCTGGCTGCACTATGTCCCATGAGAGTCACCGTACACACAGTACCACACCCAAAACACCAGTGTCGTTTGCCAGGATGACTGAACACTGTCTCAGTCTATACGTAGTCTGACACATGAAGATATTTAACGCCTTTTTTTCTTGAACTCCTTTAAACTCCACCATATTTTTACAGTTGAACATGTTTTTGTGGTTTTGAGAGTGACTGTTGTTGAGTCGAGTCCAAACTGGGCCGTTATGTTTGTGTGTCATATTTGAGAGCTCCGTTCTCTCCCCATAGGAATCATGCGATGGAGGGGAAAAAAACAGAACGATAGATTTGAGTGGGAGGGTGGAAAAAACCCTCCACCATGGGAAGTGAAAGTGTATTTCAAAATGCTCTGTTACCCCACCCCCCCACCTCCAGTTCTTTTTCTGTCTCTGTCGTTGTCCGGCCCGTCGGTGGCAGCTGGTGCAAAACCAACTGTTATTTCAATGTAAATAAATGCAGAAAATAACTGAAAATGCACAAGATATTTGGGGAGGGTGAGCAGTGGGGGGGGGCGGGGTCACAAGATGAAATTGTTGAATTTTCTGTGCTTGCCTAATGATTTCCACAGAAAAACAAACCATCCTCTTCTCTTCAGGGAAGATTTAGTTTATGACAATAATCAGGGATATATACAGTGATTTAGGACTGAATGATGTTGGTTAATTTTTTTTTCTTTTTTTTTTCATCATCTTTGCCCAAAACCGTCCTGGGCTGCATGGGCCTCATAGATTTCCTCTGTGAAACTGGCCTTTCTTGTCTTTTTCTTCCTCTTTTTGTTCTGCACACAAGCAGAAGCACTGTGGTGAAATAACCACTGACATTTTGTCGATTCTTGGGATACTTCGCATGTCCGTAAGAGAAGTGTAGTGTCCCAAACAAGGATAAATGTCTTAGGTTAAGTGTCAAAAGTCTCTGTTCCTAAAAATGTTTTCGCTGTAGCTCTGAGAAAAAACCCACTGTAATATATATGTTCACACAAACACATCGTTCTGCAGTTCGTTGCTTGGTCACAAACAATTATACAAATAAATAAATTGAGGTAAATTTAAAGCTTTTCCCAAATGTGAAAGTTAATAACATCGAGAGAATCGATTTTTTGTTACGTAACAATTTAAACACATCTACCCAGTAGTTTGGGTGGAAAAGGAAGGAAAGTGAACTCCTTGTCACTGTGACACAGCTCACCACTGCCCACGACCAAATGTGACCTCTGCTTTAACCCATCACCAAAGTGAACAGTGGGCAGCAGTGTGTGGGCACGGTGCCTTGCTCAGAGCACCTCAGTGGTAACTTGGCAGCTGGTGGATTCTAACCTGCAACTTTCCGGACCCAAGTCCGCTTCCATAACCACTAAGCCACCACTGCCCTGGTGGCTTAAAAAATGTCACCAATGAAAATAAATACAAATCAGTCTCTGATCTGCACAGAGCCACACAAAAAGGCTGCGTATCTAAATGAACATATGTGAACATGTGCTGCACGGAGTGAATATTTGATCAATGCATATATATATAAATATATATATACATATACACATATATACAACATGTATATATGTATGAATGTATACATGAGCATGTTCAGAGGAAAGGAGTGTGAGAGATTATTCATACAAGACACACACATTCACAAAAACATAAATATGGTCTGAATGCACACATCATTGAGGTATTGACACACACACACACACACACACACACACATACAAACATCACACAGGGCCGTGGCTTCATCGCCTGCTCGGATGGCTGGATCTCTCGGTTGCCATGGTGCCAGTCAGCTGGAGGGAGTGCAAGTGGGTGTCGAGTAGAAGAGGAGGTCTGCTTTTGACTCCTGGCTGGGACACACACACACACACACACACACACAAAGAGAGAGAGTGAGAGAGCTGAGGAGCTGGAGTGGTGCTGTAATGTATGCAGATACATTAGCAAACATAGATGTACAAGAATGCATTCAAAATGCAAAAAATATACAGTACATGCCTCCACATAATGTACAGATGAGCAAACACATCGATGTCGAGATCCTGTAGTAAACTAAGGACAAATATTAGTGTGTACTTTTTTTAATAAATAACCAGTTAACCATGGTAAAAAAAACATTTGACGTTAATAGGATTAAAATTCTTTACCCAAACAGTCCACTGTCATTACTTGTTGTCGCTCCAAAAAACGTTGTAATTTACACACACAGTGGGGAGAAAAGTTTCGCCAGTCCATTGTAATTAATCAGTTCAAAACCCTGGCATTTTATGAACTCTTTACAGTGAGTTCAACTGGTAAAATGGTGAACAAAGCAAATCAGATTCTTCTTCTGATTTCCTTTTGTGGTTTCTTCTTGTGTTTCTGAAGTTTCACTCGTTTCGCAATCTTGTTGTGTTTTTTTTTTTTTCTTTCCCCCATTGTCTTTCTGTCGTGGCCCGAGGCCAGTCCCAGTTAGCCAGTGCTCTTCCTGACCACACAGAGAGACTCATTTCCATTTACACTCACATTATAGCCTGCATGTTGACTTGACCTTGTTTTCAATCTGCATGTTTTTTTTAACCATGGTAAGAACCTGGAGAAAACTATCCATGTCTTCAGGCAAGGATGGTAATTGTTGACTCTCCTGCTGTGATGTATTAGCATTAGCCGCCAAACCACCAAGCAGTCCTAGCTTTTGGAGGTTCCCTCTTTATTTTACTGCTATATTATTATTATTATTGTTATTATTATTATTATTGTTATTATTATTATTATTATTATTATATTTTGACCTTCATTAATTTAGTTCAGTTCTCTGCAGGTTAGACTAAACAAGATGCCTCACACACCCCAGTTTCTCCTTGCAGCCGGTAAATAAATGTTAAATATTATTTAATGATGATGCGATGG